CTGCTGACACAGCTTTGCCAACTTGGCGAATCGAGCCCAGGAGGAGCACTACTCAGTCGCCTTCGGCGACGTACGGAATCCCGAGCTTTCGTGGCCTTGAATACCCTTCGCCATCTTATCATCGATTTCCCCAAACAAAGACAACTTTAACAAGACCCACTTTGGTCACATGAGGGTGTCGACTGCCAGGTGACGATTCCACGGATGGCGTTCCACACCCACAGCAGAATTACTTTCCTTGGTACTTGAATACATTGAAGAAAAGTACGCCGAAAATTTCAAAGTTTTCACCGATGGATCATTCGACATAGTGCGCGGAGCAAGCGCTGCAGCGTTTGTGATCCCATCTTTAAAGGTTTCCTGGGCAGCGAGACTCGAGTGCGTTGTTTCATCGACAGCATGTTAAAGCGTGGCAATTCAGGCAGCCCTGAAAAAACTGAAGTTTTGTAGGCAGCAACAAGTCGTGCTGTTCTCGGACAGTAAGCCCGCTTTGCAGCGGCTAAAACATGGTTTGATTTTGGATCGATGCGCTCAAAGATTACTGCGAATCTTTAAAGACCTGCATGGCATGGGTATAAACATTATGTTTCAATGGATTCCATCACATGTGGGTATAGCGGGTAATGAGGCGGCTGACAGACTTGCCCGGAGTGCTCTGGAGCTTACACCAACGAAGAAGGCTCCGAAAGACAATCAGCGTATCTTACGAGAAGCTGTAAACAAGCGTTTTCACTCGTCATGGCTGACGCCTCACCAGCCATGTGTGACACAAGGGCTATCAAGGGAAGAGGCCTGCTTTCTTCATCGCATTCGAACGGGATCAGCGCATGGCTTCGCAAGGTCAGACTGTCCGCGACGCCCTTGTGGCCGAAGTGCAAGGAAAACGGTGATATAGAACACTATTTGCTTAAATGTTGTGCGCTTAAGAAGGAACAGCAAGGTTTATTTGAGGAACTGCAACAGTTAGGTTCATCATGCGACAGCGTGACTGATATTGTGTTTCCGCGTGGTTCCTCAATCTTTAGGAAACAAGTGTCGTGACTTCTCTTAAAATTTTCGATTGCTACAGACCTCGCATGTGACTGGTGATAAGTGGCAATTATGTTTGGTGTATAGTTCAGCGAGATAGAGTACCGGCAAAGTACTGCACGCTTAATAGCACAAAGGCCGCTGTCTTATGCAGGCTTACATCGCGCTATGAATGGAATAGAATAAAAAAACTTTATTTCAGTCCTGCAGGACGCGCTTAGCGCGTAGCGGGCGTCTCCCACGTAGGGACCGACAGGGAGCACCTGGCGGCCGCTTCGTGGGCCTGCTGGACGGCCCATTGCTGGTCGGCGAGAAATAAGCTCCTGAGAAATCTCTCCCACTTGCTTGAGGCATAGTCGGGAGGAGTTGTTCTACACTCCCAGAGCATGTGTGCTAGTGTCGCTGTGTGTCCACATGATGGGCATGTGTCGCTGGGGTATGCATCGGGATAATAAACGTGAAGCGTGGCAAATTTTGGTTACGTGTGTGTCTCTAATGGGCGTAGGGTTAATGCCTGCGGTCGGTTAAGTTTTGAATGTGGGGGTGGAAAAATGCGGCATTCCAGGTAAAAGTGCTTTGTAATTTCATTGTACGTAATTGGTGCATCCCGATTGGTATCTAACCCAGCAAGTTGCCCTGTGGCAGTGCGGTCGGTTAGTGCGTGCGCTGCATCATGGGCGATCTCGTTGAGGCTGGATAGGGCACCCGGCACCTGGCCGAGGTGGGCGGGGAACCAGATGACAGTATGGTGCTTCAGGGCACTCGGGTCCACATTGCGCAGGATACGTAACGCCTGGTCGGAGATGACTCCGCGTTCGAAGGCTTTGATGGCCAGCCTGGAGTCGCTGTAGATGAATTCCCGTTTGCAGTCGAGCATGGCTATAACTATAGCTACTTGCTCCGCTACTTCGGGGTTTCAGGTGAGGATTGTGGCTGAGTTAAGAGTCTGCTGCGCGGATGATAGCGCGACCGTGGCGAAGGCTTGGTTGTTGCGATAAACTGCGGCGTCCACGAACGAGACGTTGTCCGCTTCCATGTCTATACGCTTGAGAATAGCAGTCACCCGCGCAAGGCGCCTGCCTCTGTTGTATTCGGGGTGTACATTTCGTGGTATGGGAGCAATCGTGATAAGGTCGCGGATTTCACGGGGAATTAGAGTCAACTCTGCGGGGTCCCTGGCCCTCGAGGAGAAGCCAAGCTCGTGCAGAATACGGCGGCACGCTTTGGTGGTAGTGAGTCGGGTCAATTGCACGCGTTCCTGAGCTTCGGCGATCTCTTCTAGCGTGTTATGTACGCCAAGCTCGCGGAGTTTGTACGTTGGAGTGGTGATAGGGAAGCCAAGGACTCGTTTGACTACCTTACGAATAAGTGCATTGAGTTGATCGCGCTCAGCACGTAGCCATTTGTGTATAGCGGAAATGTAGGTAAAATGGCACAAAACAAACGCGTGTAAGAGACACAGCAGGTTGTCTTTTTTAAGGCCATGGTGCCTGTTGGCTGCTCTACATACGAGTCGTATAGCATTCTCAGTCTTAGTCCTGAGCTTGTGTACTGTTTGGGTGTTGGTTCCGCGGGACTCGATGATCATGCCGAGGACCTTAATGGTGTCTACCCTGGGTAAAGTACCACCATCTTTGGTGTGGAGGGTGACATTGCGTTCCGCCGGAAGTTTCCACCCTTTGGGCTTGGCACCCCGGCGTTTGGGCAAATATATCAACAGCTCCGACTTCGCAGGTGAGCACCTGAGACCGGTGTGGTCGAGGTAAGACTCGGCGGTGTCGATAGCCTCTTGCAGGGCGAACTTAATGAAGCCGCTATGAACGATTTTTATTTTAAGAGCCTGCTCGTGATTAGTTATAAAACAAACAATGAACACAGCTTCATTTAGCAAAGAGAAAACCGGGCGGGGCAATCGCCTGCAAATTATGCAAGGCTAGATTCGCCGGATACCTACAACATCCTTAACCTTAACCTTGGTTATTGAAGTCGGTCGTGGGGTGGCGGAACTGGCGGACAGATTCGCGGAAGCATGGCAGCCCGTGACTCGTCGAAGGGCGCGTTCATCGGGTCACCATTGTGGCACTTGAAGATTGCGTCCTGTATCACGTCGAGGTCGCCACTGAAGCTAGGGGCAGAGTGACTTTCTTCTCTTCTCTGCGACGATGATGCAGCTGCCACTACAAGTTCTTAAGAGGCCCCTAGAAAGCGCACGTGGTTAGGTGCTTACCGTAGTAAAGTTTGCCAAAAAGTGATGTTGACAAGAGTATTTTGAAATTGGAATCCACGTGAAAAAGCAATGCAGCACCCCCCCTTCGTTGACTAAAATGGTTGTTGCATACAGCGACGTAGCTTCGTTGTGGAATCTATGAGTCGTTTACATGTGCGCACTTAGCCAAGCTTCAGTAATATAAATGGCACAACACTATGTTGAATGAAAAGTTTTTGTGTTGCCCCATACCATCAAAGTGAAATGTGTATTGATAGAAGTTGTTGTTGGTTTATTGTACATTCTTATAGGAACGCTCCCGCAAAGCCCAGAAGCTATGCGTTCTTTTGACGTTTAGTATCTAGGTTGACACTGGTAGACCAGCACACTTTCCGCCCAATGACTAACTTCCTTGATCATGAATAAACTTGAGCAAAGTAGTTGAAGTTAAAACTTTGACACAACTTATCGTGCACCTTGCGCAAAGTTGGCATCAACATGCATATAAAAATTACTGGCACTCAACTCGCACTCATCCGTTGTGTCATCACTTCGAGAGATAAAAAGCAAAGCTGATTTTTTTTAGACTTGTATCAAGCTCTACCTGTTCTCTCAAAGACAGTGCCAGAGAGCGCTTCATAAGCGCGAAAAGTCGAGTTAGTAGCTTAAGCCGTACACGCGTGAAGCCGTCCCACTTCCCGCTTTAGTGTCGGTCGCTTAAACATCGCAATGACTTGCGGCGTGGCACCTGACGGAGAAGGTTTTTAGTCCATTCTATCGCCCTCAACAGACAGGCATAGAAGATCCATCATTAGGGCTGACGACAAGTCGTGACACGCTAAGAAGACGCGAAAGACCATGCTCGTAACTGCATCGTCACTGAGTTATATCGTCATGTGGAACTTATCATAGTGTTTCCTACGAAACAGCACACAAAGCCTGCTCTTTACCGACTGCCAACTTTTTGTTGTCAGTGCACTTTTGATTCGTCATGCAATACTTCATTTAACTGTTCAAACGCGGCGTAGAACGCGGCGGTTCAAACGCGGCGGCCTCCAACCAGGCGCACTACGATACCAAGAACCTGTGAGCGATATCATCATCATCATCAGCCTGACTACGGCCACTGCAGGACAAAGGCCTCTCCGATGTGCCGCCAGTTAACCCGGTCCCGTGCTTGCTGCTGCCAATTTATACCCGCAAACTTCTTTACTTCATCTGCCCACCTAACCTTCTGTCTCCCCCTAACCAGCTTGCCTTCTCTGGGAATCCAGTTGGTTACCCTTAACGACTAGCGGTTATCCTGTCTACGCACTACATGCCCGGCCCATGTCCATTTCCTCTTCTTGACTTCAGCTATAATGTTCTTAACCCCCGTTTGTTCCCTAATCCACTCTGCTCTCTTCTTGTCTCTTAAGGTCACACCTACCATTTTTCTTTACAGCGATATAAGGCAGGACAATTAAGCGTTGTATATGTAAGTCAGTGAGAGTAGGTGCAAGGGATGAAATGCATTGGCACTGATCTAGAAGCAACGGGATTCACACGTAATTTGCGTAAAAACCTTTCGGTTCTAGATTTCATTGTCCTATATTGGTGCGCTTTTTACGTGCGATATGTAATAGCAGTGACTGACGTCATTGAAGTCTTGGTAGACCCCGGCATAACACGCTTTCATACTTATAATGGCCTGGTTTTAGTTTTCAGTATTTTTCACCTAACATACAGAATGGAAGCCAATACTTAAGGCAAGTCTTTTTTACAGGCTACCATGGAGACAGTGGAGAAGTGCCAATTACTTTTCCCAGTTCACACACAAAGGCCAGTGACCTGTTTTTGGAGGCTGGTCGGGAACTTGGTTACAGCAACGACGACTATAATGGGCCAAACCAGACAAGTAAGATATTCAGCAATCAAAGCATGTGCTTTTTTAAGCACGCTTACAAGCTCTAAACAGGAAAAAATAAAGTTTCAACCATAACGCGCTATGGTTAACACAACTACAGCGTACTAGAACAACGGGGTGTTCGAAACAAATTTTGAAATGTGGTGTCTGAACAGTATCAATCACTTCGGGGGCTGCGAGCGGTCGCCTGAAATGTGTGATCGTCGTTTGAAGGGCTGCACGTGGTTGCGCCAAGGTGGTGCAGAAGTACAATAAACTGGGAAGTAGAATAAAGGCTCAAATCACAGAAGAAAACGTTCAGTTTTAATTTTTGTAGTGTAGCTTGGTATCGCCTCATTATTTTTAAATATTTCGAGAAGATAGCTTCAGTTGCTGAGCATTTCGACAAAAAGTAACTTCAGATGCGTAGCAAAGTGGAACAAATTTGACTGCTGGTGTAATAAGTTGCAGCGCCACCACACCGTACTCAACATAAACGAAAAATTCCCCTCCGAGATCTTTGCGAATACAAGGAATCTTAGAGGTCATATATTACGTTTTTGAACAACGCTGTGTTGTGTTGCTCAAAATAGTGAATCGTGTCATTCCACACTGTGAATGCTTCGTTGCATCAACAACTAAAGAAGATTGCCATTTTTCTCCATTGCCATATGAAAACGGTAAAAAAAGGTTGCTAGAGCATCCTCCTGAGTTTGTCGCAATACTCCACTTCGGAGTTAATATCAGCTTGTTGTACGTGATTTAGTATGCTTTCTCACTAATCTAATTTCGTTTTCTTGTCTTCATTGTTAAAATATTTTACCAAGCGATTTATTAGGTGTAAGGTTGACTGAACAACAAGCTATCGCTATTGGCAGACGAATTTACTGCCCACCAATAAGTTAAAAGTTCGACTGCACAATAGTCCGCGGCTATTTGCACAAAACGTTAGTCATCCCCACATATATTGCAATTAGGCAACAGAGCGTTCTGTCGCTATGCGCAAAGCAATTTCGGTTCTTAAGTTATGCCTACAAAGCAGCAGGGTAGCGGAATCCTGAAAAAAATTCGTAGGCCCCACGGAAACAAGCAAGAGATTAGCGGTTAATATGGAGGTGGGTATCGCTCATATCCGGGGACACTCATACGTATGATGAGGACATGAACGCACTTCAACACACACAACACAAACACTTCAGAGTCGTGAGAGTCTCTTTTGCGTGCCTCCGAGCCAGAAGACTAATGCCGGCTCATCCAGCACGCGGTGGAGCCTGCAGTATCCCAGGGGATCCCTGCCGACTTCCTCTTAAATAGCGCAATCAGTCCCTTCCCTGGTCCCTTCAATTTTATGCTTCTTCCTGGGACGAATACAGATATCACCACCACAGCACATTCGCTACTGGCGGGTGAAAGACGTCATTAGCCTACCAGCGCGCATGGGTGAAACTCTCAGTGCGCACTTTATGATTCTCTCTAGATGTCAGAGCACCAATCATAAGCAGCAATTTTTTTTCAGAAGTGCTGTATCCAAGCTTCACGCTATTTCTTACCCTGCGGCTACATGTGCAGTCGCACGGGCTGCTTTGCGTATACCTGGTTTAGAACAGAACGGAGCACTGCTCTACTGTACAAATACATTTAGGGAGATCGACTACATAATTCAGTGTCTTCGAGTGCTGTGCCACGCACAGCCGTGGCGGCAAAGTCTGCCCTCTAAATTGTAAAAACAGCGCAGATGGAATTCAGAGTAGACGATGCATCCGCTGCGACCAAATCATGATGTATAGCACTTCACGCAATGCGGCGGTGTCAACTTTCTCAAAGCTAGCCCTTGCAGCTGATATTCTTTATTATGAATAAACAAGAGAAATGCAAACTTATGCGTATGCACTTTTATTTCTTTCAGGTTTTTCCCGCGTACAAAATAACGTAAAGAATGGAGAGCGCTGGAGCTCAAGTAAAGCCTTCATCCCCAATGACGTTCGCAGGAGGCGCAACTTGGACGTCGCACTTCACGCGCACGTGACGAAGGTGCGAGGCTTATTTCAATCAATCTGTTTTCTTACATATATAGTCAAGTATATCCTCCGTGGGCGGTCACTACGTGATTTATTTTGACGTTTCGGCCTAAAGTCTGGCCTTCACCAGAATTGAAGGTACAGTTTGTTGGTGCTCAGCTTTATACAATCCAAAATCAATGGGAAAGAGGGAAAAAGACAGAAAAAAATGAAAAAAAGAAAGAAAAAAAGAGAAAAAGAGTATAACATGGACTCCCCCCGGGCGCCCCCCCTTCCACTCTTCATTTCACATCCCCCTCCATCTCTCTCCCTCTTCTACCCTTCACCTTTCTGATGTCAGCGTTCTGTGTATGCTTCTTTTCACTCACGCATTCTGCTCGACCAGATGGCGCCTCTTGGCTCTGGCGGTTCGCTGTGGGACCAACAAACTCTACCTTCAATCCTGATTAAGGCCAGACTCTAGGCCGAAACGTCCAAATAAAGCACGTTGTGACCGCTCACGGAGGATCTGCTTGATTATATGCAATGCTACGGCCATTCAACCATCATGCGTATATATATATAAATATAAATATGTATATATATATATATATATATATATATATATATATATATATATATATATATATATATATATATATAGAGAGAGAGAGAGAGAGAGAGAGAGAGAGAGAAAGAAAGAGAGAGAGATTCATTTATATTCATGAGCATGAAGCTGTAAAATGACTACTCACACCTTCCCGTGGGCGGAACTCGAGTAAATGCTTCGCACAGTGGTAGGGGTATCGTGTATATGTTGCGTAATTGGGCATGGTTTGGGCATCCTTAATAGTTATTTTGTCTTAACTACTCCTATTTATTGAATAATGGAGAAGTGCTGCCTTCAACGAATGGTGGGACGCTCATGTTGGGTTGTGCCTCACTACTCGTTGAAGGTACGGTTGCTTTCACCGCATTTACTCGAGTCAAGCAAAGCTTCAAGTCAAGCGACAACCAAGTAAAGACGCCCTTGACTGAACTCTAAAGCCACCATGCGCACCCAGTCCGCCCTTCTCATACACACCGCCCGCGTTCGAGGAAGAAAAGTCGGCTGAGAGGTCCACACCCCTAGTGCCCTTGCTCGGCTTGCTGGGCGCCTGGTGGCTTATGAAGCGACAGTATTGCTAGTGTCTTCCAGGGCCTACATGAGACGCGAGTAGGAGCAGTGGTGGTGTTGACGGCAGTGACGCCAAAGTGCGACATGGTGCGACTAAGAAATGCTGCGCATTTAAAATGTTATTTTCAGCATGTTTATCCTCAATTGAAAAGGGTGAAGCAAGCGTCACAAGTAGGAACTTTTTTCAGGTTATCTTCGAGGGAATGACAGCTGCAGGCGTGGAGTACAGGCGATACTTCAAAACACGTACTATTCGAGCGAGAAAAGAAGTTATACTTTGCGCTGGAGCGATTGCTTCCCCACAGCTACTAATGCTATCCGGTATCGGACCTCGGGAACATCTGGAGTCCTTGGGGGTAAGAAATCTCTTTGGGTCACTTAGATGCCATTGTTCATTATTGATGCTTCTCAGGTGGCTGAAATAATTGCGTTTTGAGCAAATCAGGGGATCTAGTACTTTCCGACATATCATTACGTCTTCAGCCACTGAATCAGCCTGTGTCTCTGAAGTACACTCCCATTCAGAATTTCTCCACATCTGTCAATGCTGTACCTTTATTATGTCTAAACACTGCCTGTGCGAACAGCTTACAGTACCGATTCAGTCAAGCAGCGAATCCGAACTGCAACAACTGCGGCTTCATCGAAACTGTGGAACACAGGCTGTTTATGTGTAGAGCATATGCGGGTTACCGTGCACGCTGGGAACATTGCATAACTTCAGTAAATAAAAGAGCTTCCTCACTTGACTGTGTATTGGCACCTTTAGCCTGTGTCACGCTAAAGACACGTGGCATGTAACTTTGATTCGCGTATTCGTACATTATCGGTGAGCTCAGCGAACTCTAGCATACCTTGAAACCCCACAATGAGAATCTAATACTGCACGTTCTCACTCAATGGATAAAAATTATGGTCTTCAATTTTCTCTCTTTTTTATTTTATTATTTCATAACACCATGCCTTCTATGCACTCGTTACGTCTTTCTATCCCTACTTTCAATCTCCAGTCCCCTTCCACACGAAGAGTAGCAAATAAGCGATTGGCGTATTGTGTATAAATTTTCTTCTTTTCAGTAAAGAGTTATCTCTCTGTCTTATATGCTTTTCTCAAACTTCTGCTCCCAATACTGTGTGCGCTGGGCTACAACTCTAGGTCTGCAGAGAGCTCTTCTCCACTGGCCTTAAAATTAAACATGCGAACAAGGAAACGTCTTTCGAATATTCGCAAGTTTCGTCGCCTATAGAGGTCGCACAGGGTGCACGGTTCAATAACGCACACGCAGAGTGTATCGGAGTCGCTGAGCACATGGGCAACCTGCAATGCATTGTGTGTTTTTTTTTGGCTTCGCGATGGCGTTACCCTTCTTGCAATTTCATACCGAGAGCCTTCAGAAACTCGGATACAATGCCTCGTTGAAAGCAAAGAGGTGCCTGAATGCCAAGCACATCACTTGTTGTGGCGTACGATGCCCATGCACGCGTTGCCTTCCACTAAAGAACTGCCTCACAATTATGACGTGGTTCATCACGCAAAACCGAAAATAGTGTTACAACAATCTGTATTTTCTTTCGCGTCCTCAGCTTTTTTTAGTCTGCATCACCTGTCAACATTGCAGTCAGTAGGCGCTTGTGCTCATGAAGTCAAATCTTCATGTAGAGAAAGAAAATAACACATTTTTACAATACTTTTGTGGCTCTACGCCTAGTGGAATGTGCTGCACTGGTGAAAACCATATGAAACGATGTTATTGGACGGTAGGATGCCATGTCAAATTGTCCCGCGTGGATATATGGAGATATGTGTTTGTCGTGCACGAGACATGCACGAGAACTTGGTAATAGTGACTGCTTCAAATCTATTTTTGTATTTATTGGTATGTGGAGGCTATGAAATAATACAACACACTGCAGAATTGAGGTTCTCTCATATTCTAGTACATAGTTTTCACAGTGTTCTGCTACATCTTTAAATTATTTTATTACTAATAGTATCTGTTGGGCAAGTATGGTATGACAGTGTATGTAGCATCTTGTACACATCATCTGTCGTAAAAAGCTTCGTGTTAGTTTATATAAGTATGTATTCTAAAGTAAAATATACACACAACTACATGGCTTCCGTTTTTGTGGATTTTGTCGGTCATCAGTTTCACAAAGTCTACAGATTTCGCGTTCACAGTAAATTGTAGAGCTGTCTCGTGTTCTTTGATGATCTAGAAATCACCTGTACAGGCTAGCTGTGTTGTGCCGCATAAAGATGTGCTTTGTGCAAAAGAATATGACATACTAAAAGGGGTTATATGTAAGTCAACAAACTTACTCATGAGTCAACGAGCGCATACTTATTCAGATCAAGCAGCAAGTTTGAGTCGGAGTAAGTTTGTGTGAGTGTCAATTAGGAAAGTTTCTGTCCAAGAATCTGGTTCGGAAAAATTTTGGGAGGAGTTCGAGTAAGCCATAAGTACAATGTTCATTTCTTTAGTGAGCATGCATGAGCTTCAATTTTATGTCAAATTAGGGTAATATCTACTCAACTTCATCACTATCAGCATTATTCCGGCTTATGATCATGGCCCTGCCTACCCACATGATTCAGTGCATGACAGTTTCATCTAAAGACTTGTTGATCACAGGCCTAAGTTACATAAGTGTATCTTTGGCCTCAGCCCACAATCTATCGCACAGGACAATATTGGTAAAACTATCTCGTGTGAGTTGGCTTTCGATAAAATTGTGCTTACTGAATTGCCACTGATAAGTCATAATGAAAGGTACGATGTGAAAATGGAGTAAGGAAAGCACCAATTAGGTTAAGTATAGGCATCGAAGGAGTACTACGAATTTCAACAGTTTCTGTATTCTTGCTTCTAAGAAAAGTTGAGTTGCCAGAAATGTATAGCTGTTTGAAAGGTAGGTAATGAATGTTTATAGAACTGCTTCTTAAAAATATTTTTGGTTTTCATATCGAGGTGGTGGTATTATAGTGATAGACAGTGTGGTGTATGTCTAAGTCAAGAGGGTACAGTAACAAGCACGGAGTAGATAGGTGTAAGTTGTACATGTTGCGTGTAAGCAGTGAAGAGTGAATGGACATATATTTGTTTGAAGAGAAATTTTGGTTGCACACAGACAAAAAGTTTGCAAATAAAGTGAGCTGTTCTATCTTGATGCGATAAGCTCTATTATGGGTGTTACCTTACTGATGCGGGCATTTCAACAAAGCTTCGGAAACAATGCACGTATGCCACAATACATTGAAATAGTGCTGCAAGAAGCATGCCATTATGGTTTATGTAATGAGGCGGTGTTTCAATAAGCTGCATGGGCCAAGTTGCCTTGGTTATTTTTTCGTTAAGGGTCTAGCATACTCTCCAGGGAAACGAAAGCTTCAAAATGAAACCAAATTTTGGTATACGTGTTCCTGGTTTCAGTGTTAGTCGTGAGTGTTGACACTAAATGCCAAGGAAACTAAAGAGCAATGACACCACTGTTGGAAAAACAACTTATAAGTTAACATACTCATGATTCAACTCACTGAAAATGATTGAGCCACGAGTCTGGGAGCGACCAGCTGAGTAATATTTTGGTGAGCTTTAGTATGAGTCTGGTTGAGAAAAAAATATTAAGGGGTCGGAGTTTGAGTGAATATGGTTGAAGAAAATCTTAGTGCAAGACACAAATACAAAATATATTTCAGAGCCCACCTGAACACATCCAACCAGAACGAATACCACCAGTGTGTTCTTTCCACTGGAACACATCTCACCTGAACAAGTCCTACCAGAACATACCACTTTGTTGGCGTTCCCACCAGGACACACCAGAGCGGGTCCCATATATCCACCAACACACAGCACACTATGCTGATGTGTACACCTGGACACAGCAGTGTTTTGGTGTATTCAGCGGATCACAACAGATCACACCAGACGCACCCTATTGGGTTTTTCAATTTGGTGCGCCATATCAATTTTATTATGGATCCCATCATAGAAACAGCCAGGAGAGCTAAAAGTCGTAGGTGGCTAGATAGACAGAGAGATATATACAGTAAATGTTACCGAAGTTTGCTGAGAAGTACTTCACATTTAAACAGTGTGCAATTCTAACATGCCCGTACGTACGAGCCCTTGACAAAGGAAAAGCAAATACATTGTCCTCAGGAACAGAGTGGCTTTGCTGTATCACTTGTGCACTAGAGCGCAAAATCAGTTTACACTGTTACTACTTTGATTAGGACGATTCCTCTGTCAACTTCTCTGTATATATGATTTCCTACGTACGTAGTAGAACATTGTTATTTACATTACCGCAGCAAGTATGAAGGTAAGTGTAAGGTTTTCTTCTGCGATCTGTGAATTCTCGGGCGGAAACATTCCTGACATTGTGATAATGTTTCACAAAGCAACCACACGTCCGAACTGGAAGAGCCTTAAGCTTCGCATTTATGAGTTTACGTGATAGTCACATGTGGTATTTAATGCGCACATTCAACACATATGCAGAAATTATATATGACGTTGCTATGCACCCTATACGTGGCCTTAACGGAAAATGTGCTGAAACTTACAAGAGTGGAAGCTTGGGCTAGTTGGTGCGTATTCATATTTGCAAGGTGTTTCAGCGCGCGAACAAAGGAAAAAAGGACAGGGTAGACAGAACCCTGTCTACCCTGTCCTTTTTTCCTTTGTTCGCGCGCTGAAACACCTTGCTGAAACTTGTTTGGGGTTTGATGTGGATGACCAGCTATAAAGACACCCTGCAATACCTTTTGAGCAGGGTCGGAAAACGTTGCCGATCGGTAACAGAGGGTCCAGAGAACACGCGAACCAAATGTTGTAGCGCAGCACACGGGTTGCGATTACAATAAATTCTCATATTGAGCTGGAAATTGCTTTCTTTTTTCTCGAGAAATGACAGATGAAGCTCAAAAAACGCCAGGCCTGCGGGGAAGGCGCAGCACACTCACAGTGAAAGGTAGAAAAGCGGCCTTTCAGAGCCTTTTAAACGACTCAAGTCAAGTCAAGTGAAGATCCTTGACAATGCCGCACATACCCACGCTGGGAAATTGGCCAAGAACAGAATAGTTTTCATAAAATTCTTCCTTAATAACAGGTTTTATATTAATCTATTTGCGAGAAATAGAAGGAAGACGCAACAAGACGAATTTGATAGTTTAATTGTAAATAATCTGTAGTGTAATGCAATAAAGCGTCGTATTTGATTTAATATGAATTTGGAAATTTGAAAATCTACCGAAGAATGATTTGAACACTCAAACGTCTTTGAACTTTTGCCGAGCCCCTGTAATCGTCAACATCTTCCCGTCGCTGTGGCCTAGAGACAAAGCCCC